CTGCTGCAGGAATTTTGAAAAGTTGGTGAAATTCTCCTTTAATGTCAAGGTCGGCTAAACTGCCACAGCATCTCTGTCTGTTACTGTATGTGGATGGAAAGTCATGAGATAGAAGCAGAACTCCTGACTTTGTGTTTACAATATGAGCTAAAATGATCTGAGGAGGTCACATGTTACATATATCAAACAACACTGTGTTTCAGCTTTAAAGTGCTCATACTCTACACGTCCACCTGTGACATCAGTGTGGAACTGATTCCAAATGCTTTTGATGCTTTCCTAATGGGATCTAAAGGAGTACTACAGGAAACTAGTGGTCTCGGATGGTAACCAATTGCCATTACAATGCAAAACAATCAGGTTTTTAATCCAAATGGTTCTAATGCTCTTTTTTTGGCCGGGTTAATGCTACTATGTTGAATAGTACATTGTTAAATACTTTATGTATTATTGTCGTGCCTCAAAGTACTAAAAACGGCACAAGATGGTCCCTAAACCTCAACGCTCATTACGAATACAAAGATTTATGAATATGTATGAATATGCAAATATAGCCCCCACTACCTTGAACAGACTAAGCAGAAACCAGAAGAAGCTCCTACTGTAGCTTTAATTTTCAGAAAGTAAAATAGTGGTATTTTCATCATCCAACAAATGTTAAACTAATGAACAATTGCTAAATTGCAACTGAGGAGACCAGAGAAGATGTTTTAGCCTTCTTGCTAAGCTAATGTTAGCCTCTGCTGTTAAGGACGATAGAGAAGCAAGAGTAGCTTAAGCTAACAACCCCACACACTAAAATACAGGTCGACCTGCTCAGATTTGAGTCTGTATCCCCTAAATTAGCATCAGTGAAGCTTCACTGAGCCAGAATGAACCTGTGCTGTGGTGTGTGAAGCTGTTTTAGCCTTCTTGCTAAGCTAATGTTAGCCTCTGCTGCTAATGAGGACATTAGTAGCTTAAACTAACAGCTCCATGCACAAAAATACAGGTTCACCTGCTCAGATTTGAGTCTTTATCCTCAAAATATGCATCAGCGAAGCTTCAGTGAGCCAGAATGAACCTATAAGGAGCTGTTTTAGCCTTCTTGCTAAGCTACTGTTAGCCTCTGCTGCTAATGAGGACAGTAAAGCAGGAGTAGCTTCAGCTAACAACCCTTAGACCAGCGTGGAATTAATGGACTGTGCTGGTTTTTCAGCGAGGATGTTATATTTGATTTGAAGTAAATCTTGTTTAAATTACAGAGGTGGTGCTTTGTTACTGTTGACCCTTCTAAAATCAGAATTCCTTGCTGGCCTAAGCTGGTTTATGCTGGTCTGGAGCTGGTTTAGCTGGTCACCCAGCATGGTCACACTTCATATGCTGGTTTTTCTATCAGGGAGTGGCCATGTTGATTTGATATCAAATGGAAAACTCTAAGTTGTGGACACCGTCCAGCCTTCCCGAGTGGGATTTCCCAGTCAAAAGGTCATTTTCTTTGATTTTTCCTGGTTGGAGGCTGGAAATTCCAGTTAGCTCTTGTCGACCACGGTACTATTATGTGCTGTTTTGGTGCAGGAACCATTATTTTAAGACATATGTAGTGCACTGTGTAGGCAGCACGGAAGCATTTGGGATTCGGGCTAACTGAAGGGAAATAGATGATCTAAAAGGATTTAGAGAGACTGGAAAATAAGCAATAATGGGAAAAGAGAGATGGTGATGTAGGTAAAAGGAAATAGAGAGAGAGAGAGAGAGAGAGAGAGAGAGAGAGAGAGAGATGGAGATGCTGCTGGAATTCGAAGGGAAGCGAAGCAGCCACTGTGGGAATGGGAGCAGAAATCCATCTGTTTCCATGACAACCCCCTTCCCCCCAGCTGCTCTTCCATTCTGCAGCATCACGGCTTTTACTATTTGTTTATTTGTTTATATGTTGTGTGTTTGTTTTTTATTTATTCTGGCCCGTCTTTCCTGGTTCGCCGGGACTTTTATGATGCGAGCTGCAGTTTATTAATAATTCAGACATTTTTACACAGTCACTGATAAACATTCCAGTATATTCATCCATTTACTGGTTCCAGATGTGACACATAAAGGGTTCTTTAGTGAAGAGAATGGTTGTATTATGAGCCATGAGGCCCATATAGAACCATTTCATGCTTAAATGGTTCTTTGCGTGGTGAAATGGTTCCTCAGATTGATGGAGAATGTGCTGTACATGGTTCTATAGGGTTCTGCTCTTGTTTCAAGCTTGACACTGTAACAGTACCAAAATGCTTTATGCTACTATAGAGAACCATAACACGTTCTCCATCAATCTGAAGAATCATTTCACCATGAAAGGAACCATTTAAGCATGATAAATGGGCCTCATGGCTCTAAACAGAACCATTCACTTTACTAGAGAACCAAATTCCCAGCCAGGCCTGGGACTCTTTGGTGGTTTTACACGTCCTTGTTAAATTAAAACGACTTTGAATCATTTGCAAGGTCACCCAGAGGTCCTTATGCACAGATTTGGGCATTTGTGTATGCCCGTGCTGCTACAGTGCGCATGCGTAGTTGGACCTCAGCGCTGCCGTTTGTTTTTTTTTCTACGCCTCTGCTGCCCTCTGCTGGTTCTGCACGACCACCTCCGCATTTCCTCCTCTCTCAAAATAATGAAACAGTGGCTTATTTTCTCGACGTTGTGCTTCAATATATACAAGTTATGACTTTTTTCTCTCGAGATTTTGAGTTATTAACGATATTCTGACATCAGGTTGAATTAATGGGTTACTAAAATTTTAAGAAGGTAAGTAATTATTTGAGGATAATTATTTCAACATAATAAGTTGAGAAAATTGCGTATTATTTCGAGATACTAATTCTTTCGACACAAGTCGTTATTTACAAGTAGTTAATCATTATTTTAACCCTGCAAGTCATTATTTTAATATTCTAAGTCATTTGTTTGGCAAAGTAAATCATTACTTTGGCTCTTTAAGTCATTATTTTGACATAGTAAGCTATTTTGACATTGTAAGTCACTATTTCGACATTGTAAGTCACTATTTTGACATAGTAAGTCATTATTGCCACATAGTAAGTCACTATTGACATTGTAAGTCACTATTTTGACGTAGTAACTCATTATTTTCACATAGTAACTTATTATTTCGACCAAGTCGTTATTTGGACATAGTAAGTCATTATTTGGACATTGTAAATTATAATTTTGACATAGTAAGTCACTATTTCCACATAGTAACTCGTTTTCACATAGTAAGTCATTATTTCGACGTAGTAACTCATTATTTTCACCAAGTCATTATTTGGACATTGTTAATCATAATTTTCACATAGTAAGTCATTATTCCGACATAGTAAGTCATTATTTGGACATGGTAAATCAAAATTTTGACAGTAAGTCACTATTTCGACATGGTAAGTCATTATTTGGACATTGTAAATTATAATTTTGACATAGCAAGTCATTATTTTGACATAGTAAGTCATTATTTCGACATAGGAAGTAATTATTTTGACGTAATAACTCATTATTTTGACATAGTACGTCATTATTTCAACATAGTCATTATTTTGACATAGTAAGTCATTAGTTCGAGACATTAAGTCATTATTTCAACATAGTCCTTATTATGAGAAATTAAGTCAGCAGTTCAAGATGCTAAGTGAAGCTTTTGGCATATTGCAGCCAGAAGGATTAAAATAGAGAAGGATGTTTAAAAAAAAGTGATTTTTTTCTCCTCTATCTGACAAGAATGGGCTTCCATAGATGGATAAAAAGAGCATAAAAAAAGGCTGCAGTCTTTATTCACCTGCACCTGAAGTTCATAGTAATAGCTATTAAAGCATCATAATGATAATAATGATAATTATTATTTTGATTATATGCAGCTTTACACTTTTACTCACGATAAGATCATTTCATTACTTCTGATGTGGTAAAGTTTAAATCTCAATTTGAAGAATGTCTTCAGATTTGTGTTCAGAGAACAAATGAACGAAAGGAAATGTAAGATTTCAGATCTGGAAAAATCCACACAACAGTCGTCCTCACATTTATCTCTGAAATGCTGAAAGTATAACTGATAATTCAGGACTCCTTAACCTCATATGTCTCTTATCAGAGTGATGAAAAGCTCTGAGATTCAGCTCTGAAGGCTGTAGCTGGGTGTCTGAGATTGAGTTGGTGGCTCAGGAGACAGTAAAGCTCAGCAAACCCCTCACAGTTATAGTTATTTGTTTAACTGAGATTTTTATTGGTCAGTGTTAAAATGGAATTTCAGATGTTCTCCTTTTGGTGTTTTTGGTTTATTTATTCATAAAACTTTCATACTAAAACTAAATTTGAGCAAAAATTGAGTCAAGCTTTACTGGTGGGTCCACTAGGCCCAATCACACTGGGTACTGTTAACTAATTGGACTGTATTCTGCCCTCATGAACTGTCTGATCAGTTCATTGGAGAGCTAACAACAAATTATTAGTGCTGAATGAGAACAGGACTCTCAGTCTTTGCTCCTCTGAAGGCTTAAATGTTGTCTCTCTTTATCATTTAACTTAATGTGACAGAATATGTTATGGGTGAGTTAAACATCAAGTAGTTTTTGTGTAAATTATATTTAATTCACATTATTGCTGAAATTGATGTATGTAGTGTTGATGTGAAAACAAATATTAAAGCATGGAGAAGACTTTTTAGGAATATTTGAGATGGAATTTCAGTTGCTGTGAATAACCAGCCTCTACGTCCACCCCCACCAGAACAACCTGGCCCACTGAAATCTCACTCTAAAAAAATGGCACCCCTGTTACTGAGCCTGATGAGAACAGCTTCTGTAGAGAAGCTGGATCCGCACTGATACTGCATCTCTTCTACACTTTAAACGACTCCACAACTTTATTATTTCTTACCTCCCACTTAAGAATTCCACCTCTTTTCTATGCTCCTTCCTGTCTCTCATCTTTCCTCATTGTCTCCTCCTCTCCTCACTCTCTATGACAGTCTTTAACACAGAAGCAGCAAGTCACTCCTCCTCAGTTTAAAAGTGAGAAAGTGCGAAAGTGAAACGGATCTCAGAGTGCTACTGTCTCTCTCTCTCTCTCTCTCTCTCTCTCAGGCTGTGGGTGCATGAAAATGGCAGAGGCCAGTATTTCAGTAGATCAGGACCAGTTTAGCTGTCCAGTCTGTCTGGACCTGCTGAAGGATCCAGTGACTATTCACTGTGGACACAGTTACTGTATGGTGTGTATTAATGACTGCTGGGATGAAGAAGATCAGAGGGGGGTCTACAGCTGCCCCCAGTGCAGAGAGACCTTCACTCCGAGGCCTGTTCTACGCAAAAACTATTTTATAGCTGAAATGTTGGAGAAAGTGAAGAAGACAGACAGTCACTGTTACGCTGGACCTGGAGATGTGGAGTGTGATTTCTGCACTGGGAGAAAATTCAAAGCCCTCATGTCCTGTTTGGTGTGTCTGGCGTCTTACTGTGAAGCTCATCTTAAACCTCACTATCAGTCTCCAACGTTTAAGAAGCATCAGCTGGTCGAAGCTTCTACACAACTACAAGAAAGAATCTGCTCACAACATAATAAAATGATGGAGATCTACTGCCGTACTGACCATTATCTGTGTACGATGCATGAACACAAAGGCCAAAATAGAGTTGCAGCTGCGGCAGAGAGAACCGAGAAACAGGTGAGAAACAGAAATATTTTATTATCAATTCAATGAATTCTGTTTTCATACTACAATAATTAATTTGTTTCCATTTAACATGTAAATTATTTCAGTATTGAATTCATGGGAATCAATTTTAAGTGGTTTATGTGTGTTTTGTGGATAAGTGGTACATTACTTTCTTTCTCAACGAAACTACAAAACTAGTCTGACCAGTCCGTGAACATTTTTACCAGCCAACGCCCGTCTTCTAGCCCGTCGACAGATTAACACAAAAAATGTCTCAAAAAATGGCGCAGTGGTGCAGCGGGTAGCGCCACAAAGCAAGGAGGGACTGTGTTTCCTGACCGGGTGACCATGTGTTGTTTACATGTTCTCCCTGTACCAGCATGAGTTTTGTTCAGGTGCTTCAGTTTCTTCCCACAGTCCAAAGACATGCAGTCAGGCCAACTGGAAACACTAAATTTACCCTAGATCTAAGTGTGTCTGTGTGAATGTATATGTCTGTCTGTCTGCCCGGTGATGGACTGCCAACCTGCCCAGGGTGTTTCCTGCCTTCCGCCCAATGACTGCTGGGCTCAAGCACATGTGACCCGAAAGGATAAGCAGCTTAGATAATGTGTGTGTAAGAGAGTCTCAAACTGTGTAGAACAATATGGTCTATAAGGTCTTTTGCTGCCTTTAATATTCAAATGTTTACTTTATAATATGATTCATTTCTCAGAATCAGCTGAAGGAGGTTCAGAGGAAATCCTGGCAGAGACTCCAGCAGAAAGAGAAGAAGCTGCAGGAGCTGAAACAGGCTGTGGTCACTCTTAAGGTGAGTAGTGGGCAGAGATCTGCTGGAGCAGCTGTTTCACAGCTCACTCAGACTCTCCTCCAGTCAGACAGTGAGGAGTCCAGTGTTGGACACTTAGAGATCCTACACAGCCACAATGTGGACAGTCAGTCATCTAGAGTCCCAGTGAGAGAGTGAATGATAGCTGGTGTTTAAATGGAGCTCCATCTTGTGTGTCTGTGTCCTAACAGCGCTCTGCACAGGCAGCAGTGGAGGACAGTGAGAGGATCTTTACTGAGCTGATCCGCTCCATTGAGAAAAAGCGCTCTGAGGCAACAGAGCTGATCAGAACTCAGGAGAAGAACCAGCTGAGACAAACTGAAGAACTCCTGGAGAACCTGCAGCAGGAGATTGATGATCTAAAGAGGAGAAACACTGAGCTGGAGCAGCTTTCAGTCACAGAGGATCACATCCACTTCCTCCAGGTAACAATCACTCACCTACAGAGGAACCTGCTCCTCAGACAGTCTGTAAAGTTGGTCTAAATGCTCTGTAAAGCTGCAACAAATACATCTCTCTCCGTTCTGTTCTCTCTCTGTAGGGTTTCCAGTCTCTAAATGTCTCTTCTGGATGTGAGGACTCCTCCAGCATCACTGTCCATCAACATCCCTCATTTGATGGAGTGAGGAAATCTCTCTCTGATCTGAAAGAGAGACTAGAGGAATTCTGCAAGGAGGAGTTCAGTAAAGTCTCTCTACATGGTAAGAGGAGCTTCTGCTGAAGGACTGAAGGACAGAAATCTTTACTTTAATAGTAAATTAAACACAAATTCACAAAATTGACTCACTTTATCAGCAAGTTCAGTAATTATACTGATTCTGTACAGATTATTTACCAAAACTCCCAACATCCTCCTCTCTCTTAGCTTATTCAGTGTAGTGTAGCACTAGTATATTTATCCAACACCCACCTGCCTCACTGAACTAGTAAACACTTGTTTACTCAGAAATGTTACTCATTAAAATAAAAATGATAAACATATCACATTTTAGCCAATTAAAATAAATCAAGACATTAAATTGTGAATTCTTAAGTTCACTGTGTGTATATTGTGTATATTGTGTATATGAATGTTCACACAGTTGGTCTTAGTTCAGACTTACATGTTGGGTTTGTGGTTGTGCTGACACTGGGTGGCGAGGGTGAGCACAGGTGCATATATGGTGGTACCAGAGAAGCACAGGGCAGTGTCAGGGGTATCTCACAGGTTTTTACCAGCAGGAAAGAAGAAAGGCAATGGAAACTTTACTGCTTGCTCAAACTGTGGAGTAAACAATAATTGTAGAAACTGATTCGTTAGTGTGTACAAAACACACACATGTACGGTGGCCCATAATGAACCAACAAAATAATAATTTAGCCAAATGAACTACAGTAATAACCCTCTGGACATTATTTCAGCTGCTTCGTAAGCCTATAGTCTACGATGCTCCAACTGGTCTTTATATGTACATTTATATAGTATAAACGCTACTTCACTAACATACTCAATAAAAGGTAAAGAGTAACTGAATCCTGTGTGAAACCCAAACTGATCTGATTTAAACATGGAGACTGTGCTGTGTGTCTTTTAGCTGCTTCTGTCTTTCTGAGCGAGTGTTTGAGTTTCCTTCATTCATTCTGTTCAATCAGTGTGTTTGTGTGTCTCCACAGCTGCAGCAGTTCAGACCATCTTATCCTCAGAGCCAAAAACCAGAGAAGATTTTCTACAGTGTATGAACAACACACACAATCACACACACACACACACACACACACACACTCACACACACACACACACTCACACACACAAACATACACTCACAATACACACACATACAGACACACACACACACACACACACACAAATATATTAATGTTGTATGATTTAACTATGAATATGTTTGTATATGAATGGTGGAGATTGTGTCACCTCTAAACTGTTAAATACAGAAATGCATGAGGAGAGAAAACGTCATTATTCACCACAGACAGTTTATGATTCTTAAAGTACGTTTTTGAATAAAAACCTAAAATGTTTTTCTTTCTTCATTATTTTAGATTTCTGTCGACTGACTCTGGATCCCAACACTGTAAATCATCAACTCAGCCTGTCTGAGCAGAACAGAGTGGTGACGTACAGAGGAGGAGGGCAGCGTTACTCTGACCATCCACAGAGATTTGATTCAGTGTTTCAAGTGTTGTGTAAGGAAAGTGTGAGTGGACGCTGTTACTGGGAGGTCGAGTGGAGCCGTTGTGGGGGTTGGATGTCCCTCTTGGGTTGGGTGTCCATATCAGTGTCATATAAACGGATCAGAAGGAAAGGACATGGTAATAAGTGCAGGTTTGGACAAAACAGTCAGTCCTGGAGTCTGAGGTGTTCGTCCACTCTCACTTTCTGTCACAACAACATTCAGACTGAGCTCTCAGCTCCATCATCCTCCAGAATAGGAGTGTATGTGGATCACAGTGCAGGAACTCTGTCCTTCTACAGCGTCTCTGACACAATGACTCTCCTACACACAGTCCACACCACATTCGCTCAGCCTCTCTATGCTGGGTTTGAGGTCGGTCTGAGATCATCAGCTAAACTGTGTGACTCAGTAATGAAATATAGATAAAGAATGAAGGTCGTTTTATGTTGTTCAATGAAAATGAAATATCTAGATTTGGTACTATGATATTTTTGAGATTTAGATTCTTAATATTTGCTGCATTTATATTATAAATGTAATCAAGGCTTTGATTGAACATCTATTTCACACTTTTAGTCTGCATTACTGTTAAAATCTCACCCATCAGCTGTCAGTCCTGTCTTAAGCCCTGTTGGAGCTGGAATAGTTTGATCTGGGGAGGTGCTGTAATCTGAGTGATCACCGCCGAGATCTGTGATTCTAATCCAGTATGAATCTGCAGTGTCTGTAGTTTTTTACACGTCTGCTAAGTAATAATTCCAGAGTGAATTACCTTCTATAACTGTCTGAACTCTGAGCTCTTTCAGTTACAGCAGTCCTGTTCAAATCAACATCACAGTAATGTAGCAACAAAACCGGCTAATAGAAAACACATTTTTCCTCAGTGACCTGAAGAAAAGACTAACAGTTAAAATGAAGCTTGATTTGACCGAATTCCTTAATCCTAAATTCATGACGAGACACTGAAATCCACAACATTTTCAGTGAAGCCCGAATCACAAGGAGGAGGAAAATGCACCATCATTGGGAATTGCTGTTGATAATGTGCATCACCCCACACTGAAATGAGTAAAATCTCCCTCATCCAGTGTTGAGTTTTGGGTTTTTTCTCTTTTGGTGCCCAATTTATAATTTAGCTACACAGCGTGTTATTGTTTGGATGTGTGGCGCCCGTCGCATAATGCTGACCTAAACGTCCACGTGATGATGTTTGGATCTGGGCTATTTGGGGAAATTACAGAGACGCCTTATCCTGAATGAATCAGCCAGTCAGATCACACACTAATTACACTCCAGGACCTCCTCTAATCCAGCTCCAATAGAGCTTTACCTCCATCTCAGTATTCAAAGATATTCATCTGAATGATTATACATGTCATCATTACATCATGTTTCAGAGCATTATGGGTTACATCACTGTTGAACTGTTCAGTGAAACATACAGTATCTGTGGATTTTTCAGGAGCTACAGATCAAGTGTTGAGAGTGTATCATAAATAAGTTCATCGCCCCATTAATCACCTTTATGAATCCATTTATTCCCTCCTCAGTCTGGAACCCAGAAGGGGGTCCTGTCATCTTCCACTGTTCTGTGATGATCTGAATGTTGCTGTTTGAATCCTGAAAATACAGTAAAGACGTCTGATTAGACTGTACATACATTGTTGATGTAAATAAAGTGAAGCTGAATCAGATGATAAACTTTGCACACTTTCTGATAAAACACGTCTAAAGAGCTCTGAGATGCATTACAGACACAAATGATACAGCTTTCATTACGACTAACGCCTGATGATTTTACTGGACAGAGCACTGTTTATTCTTACTGTGTGTAAATGTGGGTCTGATTTAAGCCGAGTGGTTTGTAGGAGTTCATCACTCATCCACACCTCCACCTTCAACACAGACTCATTTCTGGACTCTCTGTGAATCTGAGCTGGACGTGGTTCCATCAGAATGAGATTTCTGGAATAAAGCTTTACTTTGTGTTTTAAAGCTCTTGTTGAATAAACTAAATAGAAAATGAGGTTTGTGTTGTTTTTATCCACAGAAGCAAATGGACTCAGTACAGGTCAGATAGAGAATGTGAGTCCAGCAGAGAGACGGTGAGATGAAGGAGTTCAGATGGACGGTGGTGTCTGTAAAGGAGAGCGCTGGAGTTTATCTGCTGCTCTGTGAAGTGATTGTTGTTCGGAAGGTAAATCTGGAAGAGATTTGATCTGAGTAAAGGCAGAGGCTGATAAAGTGGTAAAGGTTGGTTAGATGAGAGTTCAGTTTGGATTAAGACCAACATAATTTACCCCAGGAACAAATATGGTTTATAACATTGAAGGACAACATCGAAAACTGGACTTACTTGACCCAAACTTTATTACTAATCTGTGTATTTACCTACATCACTGACCAGAGTCCCTCACTGTTACACAACATAAAACCTGGTGGTGTAATACATATGAGAACTCAGCCATCCAGAAGATCAGATTATCGAAAAAGAGTCACTGGGTTCAAAAGATAAACAGACTCTCCTAAAAGACGTCATGATGCATAATATATTTGATCAGCTGTATGTTTGGTTGTTTGGGCAGGACGGTGTGAGGGATAAAGTTCAAAAGGACAAACAACTACAACACTTTGAAACCTTATTATGTGTTATAAATGACTGGATCACATGATCACTTTTAGAGAGTTTTAAGGAGAGATGGCGCCCTCTGGTGGATGGCTCTAAAACATCAGTCACTGATCGCAGTAAGTTTAATCATGTTAGATCTTTACAGATAAATACAAACTCTTAATAACAGCTTTAGGTAAACAGACCAATCATGTGTATCATGAGTTTTTTTCATGATCACAGAAGTCAACATGGTTCTACTTGTGAGGAAAGAGAGGCAGACGGAATATTTGCTGAGTCTGTTTTTCAAATATCCAGTGGTCATTGAACTGGTCATGGGTCAGGATACAAGCAGACAGGTTTACCACAGGATTATCCATGTTAAAAAGGACAGAAACCAGAAGATGCTAGGAGACAAACTCAAGACGAGAATACAGCTGAGAAATGATGTTACCAAAGCTCCAAAGTACGCGTCAAAGCAATACAGGAGGGAGTAAAATAGTAGTAAAGCGTAGCTGCTCTTCATCCTACAGGCCACCAGATGTCACTAATGTGAACTGTGTTTAAAAGCTTTGAGTAGTGAACCATGAGAGGCGCCTGGCCAGAGAACTTGTAGAGAGGAGATTTACCACCATGTAACGTCTCCCAGGTTCCTCTAGCACTAGAGGGCGCTCCCGAGTGAGTCCAAAATGACTGGGTTCATATGGAGCATTTGAGCAAAATCAGTTTATAAATGCTTAAACATTATTAATGTAAAAGAATACAATCATTTCCTGAACACAGAGCAGCATAAAACATTTTAACACTGCTGTTATATTTTTAAGAGCTTTTAAACTCGAGTTATAGGAGTTTGAAACAGTGCCTCATGTAGGTCCATGACGTCAGTGAGCACAAACAGCCAATGAGCTGCTCCGCTCGCCAATCAATCAGCACTCAGTAGCAGTAAGGCCCGCCTTCTGCTGCCCAAAACCTGTTTGCTGTAGTAAAAAGGAAACATACGGGTGAGATTTCTTTGTTTTTTTTAGTGAAATCCATCCTCCTACTCTCTAAAATTAAAGGAAAGTTCTGGTTCAGTCATTAGAAACTATTTTAACTTTTTGTTTTTAGCCGTTGAGCTCCATTCATTGAGGACTCCCTCGCGGGCGCCCTCTGCTGGTTAGCAGTCCTGTTTTTGATATAACGGGGGAAATAGGAAGTGGCCAGACTCCTCATAAACTGGCTCTGATGTCTCCCAGGTTTCTCTAACACTAGAGGGCGCTCCCGAGCGAGTCCAAAATGCATGGGTTAAGATTTGTATAAAATGATTTCCTTGACTAGAATTAGGTTGGTCAGCCAGCTAACAGGCTAAAGATAGCAAACATCACTAATATCACAGGCCTTTAAATTAAAGTACTTATGGTATGATTAACTGTAAAATGACAATACAGAAGTCTGAAGAATGTGACTTGAATGACTTACATGCTTCAAATGTCTGTGTTTCAGTCAGGAGTATCAAACCAGGCTGAACCCCAAACTCCGCTATACTCCGTAGCTAAATAGTGTGCTATTTTGAAATTCTAGCTTCTGCAACCTAAATCGTGACTGTTTGTCGAGTATGAATGTGGATGAATCCCAGATGGCTATTTCTTAGCTATATTAAGCACTGTTGTGGTGCAGGAGCCACTACTTAAATTCCTACGTAGTGCACTGTGTAGGTAGCAGGGAGTTATTTGAGATTCAGCCCCAGCAGGGGAAGAGGGGCGCTGCTGGATCGGTGCTATGTAAGACTTTCGGTGGTAATATGGTCACCAAAAAGTACTTATAAACAAAGGTGTTTGAATTAAACAGTGCACTGTTACGATATGTTCACTGTTATATGACAAAAAGTTAAAAAGATCATGAAATGACCGCAGTGTACAGTGATAAGTGACCGACTGTTCTCCTCATTCAAGAGTCCATGGTATGGCAACGATACCGTACTCTAAAGGAACTACATATCTTGGCAGAACACTTGTTTATGTCGATTATTATTAATAATAACAAATTATTTTCTATAACATCAGGTATTTTAACATATTTTATGTTGGCTGCCATTTTATACATACAGTAGGGCTAAACTAAAGAAGCCACATTTGGACGCTAAACATGTCATGAGTGATGGGCCACATCTGGGGTCAGTGGAAAATTGTTTTAATTCTTTTTTTCTTTCTTTCTTTCTTTGCCAACCTATTCTCTTAAGGCGCGGTTTCCGCATCTGGTCGCCAGATGGCGCTGCAGACGCGTTTCTACAAATGACTGACCGCACCAAATAAGGCCCTCAGTTTGTGCAACGTCTGCGTGTGTAATTTAGCAACCTCTCCCTCTCTCTCTCTCCCTCCCTCTCCCTCTCTCACATTCTTTATAATAACACGACTGTTTTTGGAATGCCATTAAGTTCTAGTTAAAGGGGAGCTTCACCGATTTTTCAAAATTTCTGCACAAGTCATTTTCTGAGGTGTAAACCAAGTCAGTCCGAGTGGTGAACTGTAGAGAAACATACTGACTCAGTTTTCCTTACAGTGGTGGTGACAGGAACCAGGGGTCGCCATGACTACAACATGAATATAGACATTTTATTTACTATCCAAAACCACCAGTGAACCTACACGAGTCTTCTGAGTTTCTATACATAATGTTGATGATGGTAAAATAGTGGAAAATCTGAAAAAATACATTTTTCTCCAGGGACTATTTTGCCTCACAGCATCCTGCATGCACATCCATCAGGGATGGGTTTTAAAAAATACACCGTAGGCCAAAATCTGATCTCAAAACTATGATAAAATAATGCTTCAGACAGCTGGCAGTAGATTTAGTGTAGTAACTTTCTGTGAGGGAGCTTTTAGAGGTGGATGTCTGGTTCCTATCACCA